TAAAATTCAAATTACACCATAAAGTTCTTAAATCACAACATAAAATTCAAATTACACCATAAAGTTCTTAAATCACAACATAAAATTCAAATTACAACATAAAGTTTCAATTATCAGTCGATGGCCCTGGACACTGGCGCCTATCATGCCCTTCAACTCGACATGCAGAGCACTTCTTCGGGCGGCGTCGCTGTGTCCTTGATCTATCCATTTCATTTGCAATTCGGTTAACTCTAGGTCGACCTTTGGTACGCTTCATGTGCTCGGGAGGGTACACTATAGGTCCATCATACTGGGGCCAATATGCTTCATGAGCCAAGGGAAAGAACGACCCTTCCCAAACTCTGACCACATATGGAGTCTTGTAGTATGGACTAACAAATATCAAAGGGTCCAAATTAACGCTTCTCACAGCTGCATATGCATGGGAGCAAGGCAGGTGTCTCCCTTGAAACTTCCCACAAGTACACTGGTAGGTCAAAAGCGTATGCCTTAATCCTATCTTGTAGTAAAACCGGAAATCCGGGTATCGTCTCTCAGGGACTGGTACAACCTTATGATTTATCAATTCTTGCGAGCAAACTATATGTGAAAATGTTTAGGAGATGAAATTGTTAACTAAAAGCAAAATTAACTAATTAAGCAAATTAAAGTGTCGGGTTTAACTCAATGGGAGAAAGCTTCTGGAGAAACACCGGGATTCACTACCTATCTTATCCAGATTAATTCACATATTCCAATCAATTTAATCCAATTCTCTACAGCCAGGATATCACTAATGTGCTAGCTATCCCTGTCGGGAATTACTACGTACTAAACAATTAAATCAAATCCTACTGTCGTAGCTCAATGACTTAATTATTTAGCCTAAAGACCGATATCCTAATCAAGACCGCATAGTACCTTTTTTAATCCACTGTCGCTTCGATAAGTTACTATGTCACATGAAAAATGTTCAGTTATTAGGGTTTCACTGTCGCTAATAACCTAATTAACTACAAATCATTGTATTGGTGGCCAGTCAACACAAAGCATTAAGTAATTTCATGCAATAGAGATTGGAAGAAAAGAATCATAAATCAATCCATCAAATCAAGAAATAGCTACATCCTATGGTGTTTCCCCCATAAATCGGGGTTTAGTTCATGACGAAATTGAGATAAATCGATAGGGTTTTGTTCATCATGTTCTAAATCAACAATAAATAACTAATTTGGTTCAGAAAATCCAACCAACTAATCGCTCTCGTTGAACTCAGCTCAAACCTTGGAGAAGTCGATCGAAATTCGCCTGCTCCAATCTCTGCGCGCGACAAGCTTCGCTGCGCCAAGAGCTCCGCCGCTCCAAAGAATTCCGCCAACCAAAGAATTTTCCTTCTGCTTCTCCCCCAAAAATAAAGTGCCGCCTCTTTCTCCTTTAGTTCCGTCCAAAACCCCCCTCAATAATTGCCTTCTCCTCCTCGTCCAAGAAAAGCCCGTGTCCAAGTCTCTTTTTCCTTTCAAAATAATGGCCCCCAAATAATTCATGCCGCCCCAGAGATTCCTCCCCAGCTCTCGTTGCCTTCCCGGTCTCCCAACCCAAAAGCCTGCCTAATAAACTTTGGCCCAAATCAATTTCGTCTCATTAATTTTGGCTGCAAGCTCCTTCAATAATAGGCCCGGCCCAAAAATAATCCTCCTAGCCCAAGTGATTAGTCCACCAGTAGTTCGAGCCCGATTTATTGCTTATGCACTCGCTCCTTTTTCGTGCTTTCTCCACCTATAACATATCAAACTCATGGCACTAGGCAGTAATGGTTTTTCAACCATTTTCGGGTTAGCGAGCCCTAAAATAACACCAATCGGCTTAAACATATCATGGATAATCACATAAAGTCCAAAAATTCAATATGTTAACGCCGATTATCATACACTCTCCTATTCCATTTCTTTGCATCCAGTATAACTGTTTGAGCATTACCACCCTTTGAACTATCTGGTCCACTTCCTGTTACTACTGCGAAGCGGGAATCTCTTCGACTAAATAAAGTCACCTTATGCCATTTTGCCCTTTCTGACCATGGTTTCATATCATCCGTAATCTTCTTTGGGATGTAGATTCCAGCATTCGGCATCTGATATGCTGCTTGGTAGCGTTCAACAAACCATGTCACCGTACGAAAGAAGGTATGCAAGACTATAGATGAGATAGGCATTGCACGAAGACCAACATACAAACCATTGAGGCACTCACCCATGTTCGTTGTTGTTATTCCATACCTATACCCTTCGTTTTGATGTAACGTCCACCTCTCAAAAGGATGAGTTTCTAGCCAATCTGCACCTTCAGAGTGGACCTCCCTTATGCTCTTCATTTTGTCTACAAACTTTCGAGTCTGAAAAGCAATAGCTACAATAAAGCAAAATAAGGTTAGTAAAGGAGTATACGCATTCAACCAATTGATATAATCACAACATCTTATTTGTTCTTACCAGCGTGCCAAACTGCACGTTGTCCATAAGTTCTACCAAAGTGCTTCCCGTAATTGCTTTTGAAATGTCGTATGCACCAGCGCCACTTCCACCCTAGCTCATCGGGCAGGTCGTAGAAATCATGTGCAATTCCATGGTGTCGATCAGAAAGTATGGCAATGTCCTTCCGTTGGGTGACACGAGTGTATAGTTGGGAAAAAAATCATGCCCAACTTAAGTTGTTCTCCGATTCGACTATAGCAAAAGCAAGGGGGAAAAGTTGCATACTGCCATCAACACTAGTGGCAACGAGTAGAGTGCCCTTGTATTTGCCGGTCAGAAAGGTGCCATCAACTTGGATTATTGGCAGACAATGGGTGAAACCATCAATTTATGGTTTGAATGCCAAAATAGTCGCTTAAACGCGCGTTTAGCACCCCCATAGAAATCTTCGTAACTAGGCACAAAAACATACCCAGGATTATTGTCCTCCATTGCAAGAATCAAACGAGGCATGTTAGCAAATGACTCTTCCCAATCACCATACACCTCTGCCATAGCTTTTTGCTTCCATGTCATGCTTTCTTGTAACTGATGGTATAGCCATGTCGATTCTTCACTTCAGCGATGACACTCTTCACGGTGATCCCAGGTTGTGCCTCAATCAGATGTTTGATTGTTTGAGCAACCTTCCTTGCACTCAATTGTCGGTGATCTAGAGAAATCAGTATTGTTGTCTGTCTTACGAATGATCCAAGCCCCATTTCTTTTAACATATGCCGCCCGAACATGCCACATGCATCCGTCGCCATGGTTCTCGCAACGAACATGAATTTGTTTAGTGTCAGAAGTGATGACACGATATTGAAAGCTTCTTCGCATAGCAGTTTCTTTCAATGCATCGACCACCTGAGGCTTTCCTCCAAATGTTTGGCCAACCACGAATCCAGAGTCAGGAGTCCAGATTGGTATAGGAGGGAGGTCAGGATCGTCGTTGTGAGCATAGAGAGGATGTTGTGGCACCATCGTGTAGTGAGGTGTGGGGGGCTCAAATTCCCCCTCATCAACTTCCAGATCTTCACCATCTGAACTACTCATTGATTCTAACTCTTCATCTTCCACGTCGCTTGCCTCGCTAGTGTACGGAGGACTTGGTTTATCCACATATTGATCATTATTGATGTCAGATGCTGGTGTAGATGCTTGTCTGGGTGACTGTCTGGGTGCCCTTATGTAATCCCATTCTTCACCCCATACTAGCCACTCCTGTCCGTCATGTTCCACCAATGGACCAGTTGCAGTTCGATCCTCGTATGTTCGCCATTGTGCATTATGACGCACTCTGAAATCTCCTGAACCGGAAAACCCTCCCGATCCTTCACCGTGTTTGGTATAACCGCCGCCACCATATTGGCCAAAAACTTCTGTCTCGACATACACCTCAGCAGTTGGAAATCTGTTCTCTACAATAAATCTCACCATCATATTAATGTCATCATCGTCAGACAAAACTGATCCTTCATATACAAGTGCATAATCCTTGTAAACCGGCATACAGTAAGTCATCTTGCATACTCTTCGCCCTCCTATGCAACATCGTTCCGCACAAATATGACTGAGTTCTTGCCAAGTAAATATGCTCTCAATCCGGACAATACTTGATTCACCATCTTCGTAGTCAATACTATCATGAAAGTGTGTAATTCGACCATTCCACCGAATCTGTAAGTTGAATTTTCAAAATTTTCTACCCATTTCTGCATTTTATACAAGCAGCTCATTACATACAGTACAAACAATACTAAATTAATCCAAAATTCTAATATGCTCATTCAAACAAAGTAAGTAGAACTTACCTCCAAAAAATTTCTTCTTTGCTCAGCTATGGTGCTCAAGCAGCTGCAGTTTGTGTTTGGAAGAAAGAAGATAGAAAGGAAGAGAGCTGCCAGAATGTGCTAAGTGATGGCTTTTTATTATCGTAAACTGATGGAGTGGTTCGATTCCAAAACACTCGAACTACACTAGTTCGAGTTCATTAAACTCGATCTATGTCAACCAATAATTTCCCCCTGCACCCTATTCTGGAGCATGTTGGACCGAAAGCGACTGGACATAATGATTGAGCAAGTAGTTCGAGTTTAGTGTAATCAAACTACACTAGTTCGAGTCCCTAAAACTCGATCTATGACAACAAAGAATCTTATCCCTGCAACCCTCTCCTGAAGCATGTCGGTGGGCCAGTGGTTCGAGCCCATTGGAATCGATTTGGGTAGTTCGAGTCATAGGGCATCTATCGAGTGCATTAAAGTCGTTGCACTACATCGAGGTTTTAGGCGTCGATCTAACTGGATCGAGTCCTTTGTCATCGATCTACGTTGTTCGAGTTTTCCAAAATCGAACTAATGTTGACGAGTTTTTAAAACTCGATCCTATTTTAGTTCGAGTTCTCCATCGTCGAACTGGTGAGTAGTTCGAGTTTATGGGACTCGAACCCTTTGAAACTTAGGTAGTTTGGGAAAATTTTATAAAACTTATGTATTCCGGGAATTATGTATAATTTTTACTGTATTCTGGGAATTCTTCCGTCGGATTAGTTTCACATTGCCATGGTCGAACTTCAAACACGCCTACATTATAGACCAAAAGAAGGAACTTACCAAAATTAGCAAATAAGCAGAAAGCTTCAGATTCTGATAATGCTATTAAATTGAATCTTAGTGGGCTTCACACATACCGCCTAACCCCTGTACCCATTGCACTTGCCGCCTACAGATCTTGAGTTCCGAATTGATTTTGGGGCAGAAGGCGGTCAAATTTGGGTGCTCCCTTTTGCATTCCACCACAAATCTCTGACTTGGCGTAAGAGAGGCGACAGTTAGAATCATGAATTCAGGGTTTTGCCAGGAGAGAATTGTGGGTTTTGCCAGGAGGAAAGGAAATGAAGTCTAAGCAGGTGGGTTTTGCCGGGAGGAGAGGATTATGGGTTTTCCGGATGAGGACACATGGAGTCGAGGATTGTGGGTTTCAACGGGAGGAGAGCAGGCGGTCGTAGAGGAGGGTGGATTTCACGGGGAGGATAGCAGGCTAAGTCGAGGAGGCAGTGTTGGCGAGCAAACGGCGTTACTGAGCAGCGTTGCTTGTGTACTGGACATGGAGAGAGGAGGAGCGACGACCAGCTTGGGTGCTCCCTTTCGCGTCCACCTCCAATCTCCGACTGAGCATAAGAGAGAGATGACAGGGCGGCAAAGTGTTTGGGGGAAGGGATTAAGGGAAGACCCAATGCAGGCCCAAATGAGACCATCAGAAAGCACATTGGAATGCTTCCAAGTGAAAGTATACCTGGGGTATGGGGAGCGATACGCAGAGTTTCATTTAGTCAGTTGGAAGTGATAAAAACACACTGTTCCATTTATTTGCAAGTACATTTACATTCCTGTCCTTCCGTGAAATCCTCACAGGCGTGAAAATTCAATTCATGTTTTGCCATTATATATTTTGTAGATGTAGATAGATGTTTGCTTGATCGGCTGGATGATGTAACTAGTCTGCTGCTTTTTTTACCGCTTAATAAAGCTAAGTGCAGATTCTATCAAAAAAATTAGGAACATAAAATTAGAATTTGAAGCCCAAAGCTGAAGCCTGATTATTGGGAACTTCAAAGCCCATATCTTAGCCAGTGTGACAAACCCAATTTCAAGCCCACCGACGTCCCAAACTAGATCGGTTGTGTGTTCATTCAGCCCACATACAGTTCCACATCTCAAACGACCGATGGATGGATGGAGGCAGGAGTAGGGATATGGCAACAAAACCCGAACTCACGGGTTCCGACCCAACCCGGTCAATGCGGGTAAAACCCGTGTTGACGGGCTTTGGGCCGGATTCGGGTTTAAACCCGCTACACTATTCATCGGGTTGGGTTGGATTTGGGTTTAGGTAAACCCGCCCCATGGGTACCCGTCCACACACATATAATTACTTTCCCGGTATATTTAATATTTTAAATAATATATCTTTCTTAAACAGCTAATATTCTTTATGTTTGTGGAGACATGTATAATTTGTTCTTTCTAATTGTTTAGAATGAAGTTGATATTATGAAGTGGAGAGTGAAGAAACTTAGTTGACGAGTAAGAAACTTTCAATTAATCTTATTGTTTATAGATGTTTATCTTTAATTTTGAACAATTTGTATTGATCATTTGCGGTTTGCTTGTATGCTCTAGATTGGTGTTTTTTGTATGATTAATTTGTATGAGAAAATTGATGTTAAACTTTTATTTTGAAAGAAACTTGTTATTGTAAATTTTTTACTACAAAAACCCACGGTTGGGTTGGGTTTTTCAACCCCAACGGGTTTACCCCGGGTTTTTTTGGCGGATAAACCCATGGGTTTGGATTTGGATTTGACAAAACCCGCCCCAACCCGACCCATTGCCATCCCTAGGCAGGAGCTCTCATCTTGGCACTTCGAATCCCGGAAAAAATCCCAAAATACTCTAATTATTAAAAAAATTCCAAAAATACAGTACTTATGAAAATATTTCCCAAAATACAGCAGTTTGGGCATCACCGCTGCAAACCAAGACAGTGAAGGCAATCACCGTTTTTGACCAAAACGATGATAGCATCACTGTTTTGGTTCAAAGCGATGATGCTATCACCGTTTTTGTCCAAAACGGTGATGCTATCATCGCTGTGGAGAACAACAGTGATTCGATCATCGCTTTTGTTAATGACGGGGATTAAATGACCGTTGATTTTCGACGCGATGAAGAGATCTTCACCGTTGAAATAAAAAGCGGTGAAGTAGCGTTGATCGCTGACGTGGACGCGCGCGGCCACTTCACCGCTAATGACCAAAGCGGTGATGGCTCCGCTTTCCACGTCAGCGATCCGCCCCGCCCGCGCCTTCACCGCTGCCGTTAGATGCAGTGAGGCGCGGATTGTGGTTTTTCTCCACGATCCGACGCCTCACGCCGTGCCACGTCAGCAATCCAAGCCTTCACCGCGTTCATTTAACGCGGTGACTTCACTGCTTGCATCCGACGCGGTGATTGGTTCCTGGTGAGATTTCCAGCGCCCATTTCCCCTATAAATACCACTCCCCCCCCCCCCCCCCCCCCCCCCCCTCATTCCAAACCACACCAAAATCTTATACTTCTTTCTCCCTCCTTTACTTTACTCTAGTTTCGTTCTAAGTATGCTCTGTGGTTGCGGCTAAATCCGATCTTCCGCATCAGAAAGAATTACTAGACTTTTTGTTTTGTCGATACTCTCGCTAGCTTTTCGGCAAAAAATGGACGAAGAGGCTTTGAGAGTACGTAAATTAATTTTATTCTTTTGTGATTTTTTTTACATGGGTGCTAAAATTTAAATTGATTTTATATTTTTTTATAGATGGGTGCTGAGATATACGACCCTCGATTGTATATCGATCCTGGCCCAAGGGATCGAAGGTATTTAACCGGGCAAGATCAACATCGCTCCCGTTCAATTTGGAACAATAATCCAGTAGACACACTAAAATTATTTCAATAGTTTTAAAGTTTTTATTTTGCTTTCTATTGACTGACAATATTGTGTTTTTTGTTTTGTAGGAATCACTTATTCCCATCGCTCATCGAGGGACATGTCGATTGCCCCGTTGGCATGATCGACTGCAGCCCTATATAGAGAGGACGGGATTGCACATGCTGAGGCACTTTACGAGGCTTGATATTGACAACGATCTGCTGACGGCAATGGCAGAGCGATGGCGCCCCGAGCTGCATACCTTCCACTTTCCCGAGGGTGAAATGACGATCACCCCCAAAGATGTTGCCATCCTCACCGGGCTCCCGATCACCGGAGATGTCATCATCGACAGCTCGAAAAAACCGGAAGATGGTTGGGGGCCGTTGATTCAAGAGCGTTTGGGGTTCAACATGCCGACCACCATGCCCGTCGATGGGGTTGGGCATCCACCCCTGAATGCGGGGCAAGTATCGGTCCCGTGGCTTGTTGACCACATCCAAATGGAGATTAATATAGGCCCGGACACTCCTGAAGATCAGCTGGAGCGGTATGCACGTGTCTACCTAATTGGTTTGGTTGGTGGGTTTCTGTTCCCCGACAAGTCAAACCGGTGGATACAAGGCATGTGGTTAAATATGCTCCTCGGTGACTGGGACGAGATCGGGAAAAAAAGTTGGGGGTCGGCCGTCTTGGCTGGGATCTACCGAGAGTTGTGTACTTGCTCGAGGTTGGGAGCGAAACAAGCTGGTGGTGCGATGTTCATACTCCAACTCTGGGCATGGGAGCATCTTCCGTTTTTAGCACCTCGAGACCCTCGGGAATTCTGGTTGCCAGATGATGAGCTACGATTTGTAGCAAATCCCCCATATGGTTTCAAGTAAGTTTAATTTAAGTTTAATTTATTTTAGATATGCAATGGTAGTATTTTAGTGAATTTAGATCTATTCCAAGTAAGCAAATTTAGTGAATTTTAGTGAACTTAGATATCTTTCAAGTAAGCAAATTTAGTGACATTTTAGGTATGCAATTATAGTATTTTAGTGAATCCAGATATCTTCCAAGTTAGCAAATTTAGATTTATTCTAACCAAATCGTATTTAGCTAATTTAGATTATTGCCAAGTAAGGTATTTTAGTTCAACTTAGATGCTTCCATACAATCATACTTAACAAGTAAACATCTATGCCATAAAAATGGCTTATATACGTACTTTTGCTTAATTAGGTGGATCGGAGCAAATACAAACGACCACCAGCCCGAACACTCTTTGTTGTTTTATCGTGCTGAATTCGATAAGCCTTGGTGGAACTAGGTAAAAATATAAAATTTCACCATTTTCAATTTTTTAGGTGGAGTGGATATAATTTGTACTAATTCCATGAACTATAATGATTGTAGGCGGTATGGGATCCATATCCAAATGAAGTGGTTGAGTTGCATCGTCTTAGACATCCCGAGGATGAAGAGACATGGTTGTGCAAGGTGCCCTTAATCTGCTTCCACATGGTGGAATGGCACCTACCCGATCGATCTTTGAGGCAATATCGATTGGAGCAACCAATTCCAGCATCCCCACCTCAAGGGTTCAGGGAGCTCCACGCCATTGACCTACGCCACACCAAAAAGGATTGGCAAAAGAAGCATGAATTCTACATCAACATATGGGAGAATAGAAATCAGTGGGTGGTCCAAGGGTTGCCGGAGACAAGGCCAATGGGGTACCACGATGGCTACATGCGGTGGTATCGAAATTTCACGCTAAGATGGGTATCAAAGCAAGGTGCTGTTTGGGGCGCAATGGTAAGTGAATTCCATTTTGGCCTCTTTGTCTAAATTTTTGGAAGTATGATTACATGCCTATATTAGCTAGAATGTTAATTAATTAGTTAATTTTTGGAAGTATGATTACATGCCTATGTTAGTTAATTTTGTACAACAATGTCTAAATTTTTGCATGATTACATGTCTAAATTTTTGGAAGTATGATTACTTGCCTATGTTAGTTAATTTTGTACAACAATGTCTAAATTTTTGTATGATTACATGTCTAAATTTTTGGAAGTATGATTACATGTCTATGTTAGTTAATTTTGTACAACAATGTCTAAATTTTTGTATGATTACATGGCTAAATTTTTGGAAGTATGATTACATGTCTATGTTAGTTAATTTTGTACAACAATGTCTAAATTTTTGTATGATTACATGTCTAAATTTTTGGAAGTATGATTACATGCCTATGTTAGTTAATTTTGTACAACAATGTCTAAATTTTTGTATGATTACATGTCTAAATTTTTGGAAGTATGATTACATGTCTAAATTTTTGGAAGTATGATTACATGCCTTTGTTAGATTTAAGGATGCCTATTTGTCTTAATGTTAGTTAATTTTGTACAACAATTTATTAGGTTGACGGTTTGGAACATGCCAAGCACACTGTCGAGAGTGCACCCTCTAATGCCTGCACCGCCCCGACCTTCATTCCGTGCTGATGAGAGGATCGTGCCCCCACAAGAGCCCCCACAGAGGAGCAGAAGAAGGGTGAGAGAAAACATTGAAGAGCTTCATCCGTCTCAACAAACTCAACTTCCTGAACCATGGCCACATTGTGAGTGGGCAACTAGTACTGAGGGCACCGGAGGGTCGTCAAGCTATGCCCCAACTCAGGAACATGACATGTTCACCCAAGGCACCCCTCACTTCCACCATCAGCAACAAACTGCTCAGTATCAGACCCCGCTTCAACAACACACATCATCGACTTTCCACCACGCTTCTGGTTCATCTCAGCCATATCAACCCCCACCACCTGTCTACACTCCGGTGGGTGGGCGGGTTAAGAGGAATCCGCGAGTAGTTGTCCAGCGGGCTTGTGAAGAAGGAGGAGGTAGAGAAGGCGGAAGAAGGGGTCGAGGAGGTCGTGGAGGAAGAGGAAGAGGAAGAGAAGGGGAAGTGGAGGGAAATGAAGACAACCAGTGAACTATCTATGTCGTCTTAATTATGTTTGGTCTTGTGTTGTTTTCCATGAACTATCTATGTCGTAGTTTGGGATTGTGTTGTTTCCAGTGAACTATCTATGTCGTCTTAATTATGTTTGGTCTTGTGTTGTTTTCCATGAACTATCTATGTCGTCTTAATTTGGTTTGGGATTGTGTTGTTTTCCATGAACTATCTATGTCGTCTTAATTTAGTTTGGGATTGTGTTGATTTTCCCCCCATGTTGTACCAAAGTAAACAACAGACACCATTCATTACAATCACTCAACAAGATTAAAACAAGAAGTCCAACTTAAACATCACAACAACGAAAATGACAAGGAAGTGAACAAAAGAGTACTCAAGGTTGGTTTGTACTTGGCCCCGAATCTTGCTCTAGAGGTGGACCTGGACAACGCCTCTTGTCATGACCCGGTTGTCTGCACTTTGAGCAACGCTTTGGATCTCGTTGGGCACATTGTGATTGATCCATTTCATTGTGAATCCTTTCGGTCCTAGGACGACCTTTGGTGCGCTTTAAGTGCAACGGTGGGATAATCAACTTCCCATTGTCTACAGGCCAATAAGCTTCATCCAGCAGGGGGCTGAAGCTTGACGAGTAGGAGTTCCTGATCGCCTGTTCCGTGTAGTAAGGACTAACCAAACTGTAAGCGCTGAGGGTTATCGACTTAGCTACTGCCATTGCTTGTGAACAAGGTACTCTTCTGTTTTGATACTTTTGGCATGTACACTCTCCGGTGCGAGTTTCTACGTGTAGAGTAACGGATTGACGATTATGCCCACGTCTTCCTCCACCCCATATACCTGTTTACACAGCAAAAACACCTTCATTGCGGTTGAACAGAACAACCCTGTGCTTACTTGATTTCTCCTCGATCTTCTGCATGCCATCAAATATATGATGTGCTATTGAATGACCAGCACGCTCCCTCCCTATAGCGAGCTCCCGTCTCTTTACAAACCACTCGTTTACCTTCCAGTATGTCATCTCCACTAGGACAGATACAGGCATTGCCCTAATGCCCTTGTAGACTCCATTTATGCTCTCGCCATGGTTGGTAGTTGCAATGCCGAATCTAGCCCCGTTGTCCATATGAAATGTCCATATGTGCAGATCTTGACCTTCTGCCCATATTGCTCCCGCCCGGTGTATCTGAAGGATCGTCTTCATCTTCTGCTCGTACTTCTTTGGTTGATGTGCAACCGGTACAAGACCGGAGAATAAATAATTAAGCCATAAGAAATTTCATTTCAACAATAAACCATGAAGAATCGACTGAACTACATTACTACCTGCACTCCACAATTGATCTCTTATGTCTTTCTTCTTGCCAAATTTGTGTTGGAAATTGGCAAGGAAGTGACGAATACACCAGCGCCATGTCCATCCCCATTCGTCGGGAAAACCACCGACGACGTGTTTAATCCCGGCATGTCGATCCGATATAATTGTAATACCCATTCTTTGTGTGACGTGGGCGTGTAGCTGGTCAAAGAACCATGCCCAACTTAAGTTGTTCTCCCCTTCAACTAATGCAAATGCTAAGGGGAAAATACTTAAATTTCCATCAACCCCAGTTGCAATGAGAAGAGTTCCTTTATACTTCCCAGTAAGGAAAGTTCCATCAACCTGTTATAAATGAATAATTAGTTAGTAAAAATTTAACTTAGTAAGGTAATGAACTAGTACAATATTTTGAGTCCGTAATATACCTGAATCACTGGCATGCAGAAGGGAAACCCGTCAATGCATGGCTTGAATGTCCAGAACAGACGATGAAACATCAACTCGTTCTGTACTCGAACTTGATCTTCAGTTTGCACGTTGTTGTACCACGGCACGAAAACCGTCCCAGGGTTGGACTCCTCCATTGCGGACATTAGTCGAGGGAGTAAAGCATACGAGTCATCCCAATCACCGTCATGGCCTTCTGCTTCCCATGCCACGCCTTCTTATACCTTATGGTGTAGGAATGTCGATCCTTCACCTCGGCCATAATAGCTTTTATCTTGATATCCGGTTGTGCCTCGATTATGTGCTTAATGGTTCTCGCCACCTTTTTTGCTTTCAGTTGCCGGTGATCCTGTGAAAGTATGGTTGAGGAGCATCTGTGGTTGTTCTCTACTGTTCGCATGACCCAAACGCCATTTCTCTTCATATATGCAGCCCGAAGTTGCCACTCACAACCCTCTCCAGCATTCTTACAAATGACATGCAATTGTTTGGTGTCAGAATATTTTACCTTCCATTCGAAGTTACGCCGCATGGCTTCTTCGCTAAAAGCATCTTGCACATCGGCTTTCGAAGTGAACGCCATACCCACTTCCAAAGGAGCAGTCGGATTATACACAGGCATGGGCCGATAGTCAGGGGCATCGTTCTGACCATATAAAAATTGATCAGGAACCTCTGTGTAGTAAGGCGTTGGTGCCTGACGAACGCCACCTCTCTGTCATCGATATCGTTGATATCGTCCGTATCTTCCTCCTCACTGACTGATCTCAAATCTTCCTCACTTTCATCGTCACTAGAGGCGAATGGATAGCTCGACTCAGGATGGTCATCGTTACCAGCATAACCAACATCGTCTTGTTGGTCATGCGAAGAACGCCCAGATCGAAGGGTGTTCTCAATGTCAGCCCACTCTGGACCCCAAGCAGGCCATTGATCACCGTCGGGCTGAACGATATTGACGGCAGTCTCAGCATGTTGCGAGTATTCTTCCCACCCAACACCTCCTTCATAACTACCTCCTCCGTAGTTGCTTGAAGTACCACCCCAGCCATACCCTCCTGCAGAAGTACCTCCTCCGTAGTTACTTGAACTACCACCCCAGCCATACCCTCCTGCAAAACCATCATCACAAGAATACTGGTGAGAATGAGTTTCACCGACCGGCTCGGTCTCGACATACAACTCTGCAAGCCACAACCCGTTGTCAGATAGGAACTGTATCATCATGTTCACCGAGTCATCATCATTTATGACAACTTTTTCGTACATGACTCCGCCAGCACTCATGTTTGGATAGCGGTAGGCAATTTGACCAACTCTCCTTTGCCCGCCCGTACAAGTCCTTTCTGCACAAATGTCATGGAGTTCTTGCCACGAGAATCTCGACTCAATTTTTAGCATAGTGGATTCGCCATTTTCATAGTCAATGCCAATGTTCGAGTTTGTCACCCGACCATTCCACCGAATAATAAGCCGAAACTTCTTAAATTTAACCATGTCTGCAATTTATAATAATTAAGTATAGTATATAAGTAGTACATTAGGGATACAAAAACAATATCATCCAAACCCATAAACAAACGCATGTAATTGATCTATCACGAGAAAACTAAGCAAATTCATCTAACTTCATAACTAACTAATTAACATCTATCATATAATAATTAATCTATTTATATCATAACATTTTTTCCAATAACCGCAATTCCCTAAATATAGACATATAATTACTAACACATCAACATGTAAACAATACATAATTATAACATACCGAAGCCCGATCTATCATGAGAAAACTAAACAAATTCATCTAAATTCATAACTAATTAACTAACATCTATCATAATTAATCTAAATATATCATAATATATTTTCCAATAACCGCAATTCACTAAATACAGACATATAATTACTAACACATCAACATGTAAACAATACATAATTATAACATACCGACTCCCGATCTATCATGAGAAAACTAAACAAATTCATCTAAATTCATAACTAATTAACTAACATCTATCATATCATAATTAATCTAAATATATCATAACATATTTTCCAATAACCGCAATTCACTAAATACAGACATATAAATTACTAACACATCAACATGTAAACATTACATAATTATAACATACCGAATCCCGACAAGTTTCTTGAGCAGTAAACCAACTCCAAACCAGCTGAGAAAACGACTAATAAAACACTAATTTTTGTACTAATTTTCTGTAAGGTAGCAATAGGGGAAGTGGAGGTCAGTATTTATAGGAAAATTATTTAGCAATCACCGCTTTGGACAAAAACAGTGATGTGTTCACCGCCATTGTCCTCAGCGATGATTGCTTGGTAGCTGTGACCTAATTTCCACCTACCAGGGCTCTAAAACGTGTCAATTATCACCGTTTTGGTCCATGGCGATGATATGATCGCTTTTGTCAACAGCGATGATAAGGTCGACTATCACCGTTTTGCAAAAACGCGGGGAACTCATGTCTTGGTTTGCAGCGGTGATGTTCAAACTGCTGTATTTTGGGAAATAAGTTTATAAGTAATGTATTTTGAGAATTTTTTTTAATAATTAGAGTATTTTGGGATTTTTTCTTCGAATCCCCGCTGGTGAAAATTTCCCTAACAGCTTTGCTTCCACTCGTAAACTGGTTGTTGACTGAAAATGGAGAACGAGGAAGACGGTCCTCCCGCCGCCATCGACATCGCCGCTGCTTCACCGGCAACCTACACTGTCGACGCCCTCGGAACAGAACAAGCTCAGGACGACGCTGTCTCTGTTGGAGTCACCATCATCACCGGTTATCTCGGTGCCGGCAAATCCACTGTATTGAAAGTCTTCTTCTTCCCGCTTCTGGAGGGATAGCTGGGGTCATACTGTGCGCAATTAGATGCTGATTGTAGGTATCTGGGTTGTGTTTTTCTGCAGCTTGTTAATTATATATTGAACGCTAAACATGGGAAGAGGATCGCGGTGATTCTGAACGAGTTCGGTGAAGAGATTGGGGTCGAGAGGGCGATGATCAATGAAGGAGATGGAGGGGCTCTGGTGGAGGAATGGGTTGAGCTGGCCAATGGGTGTATATGCTGCACCGTGAAGCATAGTTTGGTACAGGCACTGGAGCAACTTGTGGAGATGAAGGAAAGGTGGGAAATTTTTATTTTTTTGGGAAAGTACTATTGTACTGAATATGTGAGTGAATTCTGTTGGCGATCAATGGTTTTTGGTAGAGCTGAGGGATTTGCTATCTGGTTTTTGCAGACTTGATCACATATTGATTGAGACCACAGGATTGGCTAATCCTGCTCCTCTTGCCTCTGTGCTTTGGTTGGACGATCAGTTGGAATCAGCTGTGAAGCTTGACTCTATAATCACTGTAAGTAGACTTAAAATTTTCTGTTTCAAGCAATTGGATTTCCCTGATTCCCATGACCAACCTAGTTGTCCAACAAAACATGGTAGTAGAGTTTAGACAGTTGATCTTATTACTGTTCTAGGAGGAAATTCTATGGAAAAAATGTCCTCATGATATTGTTCTCAGGGTTTGAGTTTAGTTAGGGATAGGAGTGTGAGAACTTCTTGCTTGTTAAAATGGAGCTACCTTTATTCCTCTAGGTTCTAGCTGTTTAACCCTTGTCTTCAATCAATTGAGAAATATAGGTTTATGATTCATTTTTCTGACTGTTCCCATCACTCTTGGCAACAGTGGAAGGTTTTTAGTTTTGGTTAGTTCGTCTCCGGAATTATAATGTCCAGGCATTATCAATCTTGTATCTGTCTATGGCTCTGTAAGGCCTGTGACGGTCACCTTATTGGGGCTAACCAAGTGATGGTTTATTTTGAATTCAGATAGTTTGCCTCATCCCATGTTACCAATTTCTTCAGCTTGAATTGACAAGTTGCTATCTGAGTAATGACAGGTAGTGGATGCTAAGAACCTTGGCTTTCAGCTTAAGGAGCAGAAGGATTCTTCTTCGTTTCCCGAAGCTATATATCAGATAGCATTTGCGGTATTGCTCCACTGCTTTTTTCTTTCCCTATATTTTGTGGCGAGTACTTCAATCATAACTTGGTTTAGTAATTGTCCACCATGCTAGTCCAAAGTTATCTTGCAAGTCAACCTGTTTTAGGACATTGAAATTGTAGGAGCTGTGAGCATTATGTTTCGGTTGTTTTCTATCACTTATATAAAATTTTGGGCGCCTAATGTGTTTTATGTAGCCTTATTAGCTGTTGTCTTTCTTGTAGGATGTTATCATTCTTAACAAGGTTGATTTGCTTTCTTCAGAAGGTACTGGAGGAGGATCTTTGGATGAACTCGAGAAGGAAATACGTGACATCAATTCACTTGCCAGTATCGTTCATACTGTTCGGTGTCAAGTTGACTTGTCTAAGATACTGGACTGCAATGCATATGATACTGCTGTAAATTGACTTAAGCTTATCGCCCAGTTTCTGACTTTTTATTCTTCTCTATCTTCCGTGAATCCTCAGTTAGGTGCTAAACCATATTCCATGATCTGTTTGATTTCAGCGGGCTTCGCACTTAGAAAAACTACTGAATGAAACTAAATCTTTGTCAACCAAAGACCTGCATGGGAGTGGCGTGCACACTTTATGCATTTCGGAGTCACAGTCGGTTGATCAGGAGAAGGTATGAATTCCTAAATCTTTGTCAGTCAGTAGAGTTTATATGAATGTATGCAGACTTCTAATGACGTTGACAACTTTCTGTGACAAATCTGGATTCAAAGTTCTGAACATCAATACACAAAAGTTATCCGTTCATCAATTTCTAACATCCTGTTTGGAACATATGCCCTTCGAACTGGAATATGATTCCTCGTGAGAGTCACGATTCTTGTGGCAATCCATTTCCAGAAAAATTGTTTGATATAAATTCTAATATTTTGAGAAACGATTTCTTGTGTTCGAGTTTGGGAATGAAATGGAGGTGAATTCTTAATCATTTAAAGCTGGATCATGACGATTTTGGTGAACACTTTTTCTCGGGATTTTTGGGTATCCTTTAGAAGTTGAGGTGTAGAATGGCATGCTACATAAACTTAATGCTCCCCTATCATTACAGGTTCGGCTGTGGCTTGAGGAGATTCTGTGGGATAAGAAAGACGACATGGATGTATACCGTTGTAAAGGAATATTACACATTCGAAACTCCGATGACCTGCATACTTTGCAGGTAACTGTCTCGTACTTTGTCATAGTTCCCTGTTGAGTCAGACCTTGTATTTGTGAGGAGGGCAATATTCACCATGTTCAAAACCAAACCCATCAATCAAATTGCGACAGAGTTTGATGTTGAACTCACTTTGCAGGCGGTTAGGGAGATATATGAGATCGTACCTTCGCGAAAATGGAAGAACGAAGAAGTTAGACTGAACAAGATAGTTTTCATTGGTAATTACTGGGTGGTTTTCTACTACCTTTATTGCACTCGACCCAGTTCTTTGTAAGAAATCCATGGATGATGTTAACAGAATTATGTTTTTTGTTGTTGCAGGTCGTAATCTGAATGAGGCCATCCTCGCTAAGTCTTTCAAAGGTTGCGTGGGGATTGCAGGATTAGAAGGTTCATGAATTGTTGTCTGATCGTAGTAGTTAAGCTAAAGGTTTTGGTTCAATACAAGAATGTTATAAATATTTACATTTGTGGATGTTTATTATTGACAAGTTAGAGCACAAATTATATAGGTTCAGAAAATTGATCGATAATACGTGTATTGAGTGTTAAATTGTTATTTTCCAAATAAGCATGCACTAAAAGACAATTTGGTAGGCAACTCTTACAAGTTATATGAAGACCAAGAACTTGCATTATTCTACCAAACAAAGAAAAGAATTTGCATTGATTTATTTTTTTGGGTAAATTACAAGTTTGGTCACTGAGTTTATTAAAAAGTGTCATGTTTAGTCACTTGAATTAGTAAAATGATTCACGTTTAGTTACTCTTCGTTAACACTGTCAGTCAATTTCTGATATGAATAACAGAAGTGCTGATACACCCAATTTTAGCTCGCCACGTCACCAAATCCGACTCGCCACATCACTTAACCTGCCACCTCAATTTTCCCAACTCAACCCATAAACCAACCCTTCCAAACTCGTGACCAGGTCAGACCAAAGTCGATTTTTCTCTCCTCCCTCCATCTCATCTAGGGAATCCGCCACAGAGTAGGCGGTTCAATCAAACACGGCTAAACAAAATCACCCAATGGGTCTGAAGACCAAGGAAGTAAGAGATTTGAAGAACAAATCGATTCAATCAACTAAAAATCACTCAACCAGCCCATATTGTTCCAAGTAAATCCTTGTTTCTTCAATACAGAGTTGATGGAGTGATAAAAGTAATATTAAAGAACTTGAATCTTAAACTGATTGTTTGCGTTCTTGCTTTACTTAACCTGAGCTCGAGAATACATTCTATTTTCCCACATTTTCTCGACGTCCAAACAAGGGATTCAAATCATTCTACTAAGTAACTATCCCCAATTACAGTAACCAATACTAAACATTGATGATTAACTCAATTTAACATAAAATAACATCCAAATGACATAGAAATTATTGATGAATTGAGCTATACCATCTGGTGGATCCGTCATTGCTCGAACTCTTGAAGCCAGAATCATCCAGAGAGCAATCACTACACAGAAGGTATGTGGCCCTGTTTTTTTTAGTAAACTGTATATGATTCACGATTGAACCTCTTTGGTATAGCTATGAGATCAATTGGTTTTTGACATGGTATCAGAGTCTTCTGTGACCGAGAGGTCTTCTGTTCAAATCCCGATGGCCCCAACTGTTTCTGTTAAGCACATGGTGTCCGGACCTGTGCAAACTTCAAATCCACAATTGAACCTTTCCCAACAACTCGAGTTATTGGAATCAACTGGTTTTTAACAGCTTCCCTGTTTTCTCTACGTTTCCCTTGAGAATGAGGAGAAAATGCATTAAGTAGCGAGAAGCCGAGAATTATTCCTTCACTGTTTTTAGTTGATTAATTCGATTTGTTCTTCAAGTCTCTTACTTTCTTGGTCTTCCGACCCATTGAGTGATTTTGTTTAGGCCTGTTTGATTGAACTGCTACTATGTGGCGGATTCCCTGGTGGAGATGCGGTCATGGGGGTAGAAGGGAATAATCGACTTTTATCGGATCTAGTCATGAGTTTGGAAGGGTTAGTTTATGGGTTGGGTTGGGGAAACCGAGGTGGCAGGTTGAGTGATGTGGCGGGTCGGGTTTGTTGACGTGGCAGGTTAAAATTGGGTGAGTCAGCACTTCTGTTAGCCACATTAGCAATTGACTGGCGATTTTAACAAAGAGTGTCTAAACGTGGACCGTTTTACTAATTCGAGTGACCAATATTGAAAATAAATATTTCAAGTGACTAAACATGACACTTTTAATAAAGTCAGTGACCAAACTTACAATTTCCCATATTCTTTTGCTAAAAAGAAAGGTGCATTGGATACCCTAACCTATATATTAATAAAGCGGGGTTCGGTGATCTTCATAACATCATAATTCATCATCCTCGCAATTCTGCAGCCGTGATCATACATCAATCAAAATTTGCCACAAAAGTTTCCCTTGCTTCTGGGGCGGGATACGGTTACTTCCTCTAAGGGGGTTGTGAGATTCACAACTAAGAGTATTTTGGGTATGAAAATTTTTTAATGATTTTGGGTATGAAAAAAATGAATTTATTAGTTAATTCTTTTGTATTAATTACAGATTGTGAATTAAAAACCCAAAATTAAATACATGTTTTTTAAATTTTAAATCCTATAATAAATACAACTCTCTCTCTCTCTCTTCCTTTTTCAGCAGCCACTCCACTTCGACCGGTTGACTTTCCGACCGACAGACTTTTTTCAGCGAAATCCTTGAATTAGACTCAATCCGGCCACCTGCAATAAATTACCAATCCGTCAGTGCGCTAGTGGTACGCTACTACTACCACTACCACTACAGCGCTCCCACTACCATCTGGTAGTTGATAGTAGTAGCGTACCACTACCAGGTACCACATGATAGTGGTACCAAATTATACTAATACCAGAAGAAAATCACTACCACTAGAAAAAAAAAAACTAGATTTGAAAATTCAAAAATCACAGATCTTAAAAACGAAAGGGAGGAGAGGAAGAATATAGTGGTAGAGGGACGCACACTGGAAGAGGCAAGTAAAGGAGGCACGACGGCGGCGACAGGGGGTGGAGGGAGGCGGAGGGCGACGTGGTGGCAGCGGCGGTGCCGTCTGCTAGAGAGTGAGAGAGAGGAGGGAGAGAGGGAGAAGGGGGAGAGGGAGGAGTTAGGGGTTTTTATTTATTTGGGAGGGAGAATGATTAGGTGTGGTAATATTTTTCCCTTCCAAAAATACTTTTCTTTTAATCCTAACCATCAATTTGAAAAAAGAAGAAAAAAACAGGAGAGAGAGCTTATCAAATGGCTAAGAAGTGGGTTGTCAATCTCACAACCCTCTAAGAGGGTTGTGACCGTATCTCATCCCCTTGCTTCTCCCGAGAATATTGCGAATTATTCCTCCAACTGCAGTGGTTGAGGTTTCGATTTCACCGACCCATCCTATTAACTTATGTCCATCCTTCTAGCATTGGATCCCAAGTAGGAACTTTCCATTAATGATTGTATTATTTTATCTAGCGGTAATACCACAAGTTTTGAATCCATTTAGTAGTATCTAATCACAAAATAATATATATAAAAAGTCAATGTTGCTCAAATCCGTGGGTTTCGCGAATTTATATTCATATTCATTTATTTTAATTGGATTTATAATTCATGAATTTTAGTTTGTACCCATACCCATATGCAAATTACAACTTTACACTTAAAGTTAATAAATTTTGAAATTTAATACCTACATAATATTTTTTGGCATATAGGTCAAATATACCCAACATAAGAAAATATTTCCATAGTTTCCGGGTCCACCATGACCCCCGGCAATTGGCGCCTGGCAACAAAAAATCATACATTGGCTCACGATTTCCCTAGGTAACAGGCTCCTCCCTGCGCCCGACTCCTGCTGGTGCATCATAGCACTTGGGTTGGCGCCCCGGCTCTCTCCACTGGTGCATCATTGCATCTGGGTCCACTACCGCACCTTGCTATCTCCACCGGTCTCCTGCCTCCTTCAGGCGCCTTACCCACAACAGTGCATCATTCAACCCGAATCCGAGGCCCGGCTCCCTCCAGAGCACTATTGCCCTCAGCACCCGGCTTCACCTCTCTCCCGGCTCCCGATACCCATCGATACACTATTTCCCTTGAGTTATTTTGCCCCCGGCGCTCGTACTCCTCCTTTCGCCCGACTCTTGGTCCTGTTATCGCCCCCGACTTCAAGTACTCGCCGACGCACTATTGCTCCCGGGCTTGATTTTTCCCCCAGCGCCAAGACTCCTCTTCCCGTTGGATCCCAGCGCCCGGGCTCACCATCCCCTACACTCTCGGTACCCGCCGGTGCACTATTTCCCAGGGCTCGATTTTGCACCTGATGCCAAGACTCCTCTTCCCGTCTGGATCCTGATGCCCGAGCTCACCATCGCCCTCGACTCTCGATACCCGCCGACGCACTATTTCCCCATTCTCGATTTTGCCCCCGGCGCCGAGACTACTCCTCCCGCTCGAATCCAGTATTCTCCAGCGCACTATTGCCTCGGCACCCGGGGTCGACCTCCTGCTCGGCTCACGATGCCCATCAGTGCAACTTTGTAACTCGACGACCATTATGCCCGCCGCCCTACGCCCACCGATGGCTCATCACAACCATTACACCCATCGCTCGGTCCCCCCTTCTCTGCCCATCTTCTCGAACTCAGGTCCATTACTTGGCTCTTAACTTACATATGAGGCATCTCTTCTCCATACCCAGTCTCCATGTGGCAAGAGTGTACCCATTTGGCAAATTCATGGTTGACAAGCGTACAACCACGCGGCGGGTACGAACAAACCTTAGCGACACGTCCCCTGTGACGTGTCCATGTTTACCCCGACACCGACACACACATCCTTTTTTGTCTCCTAGATGAACACTACATAACAAGTTCCTGCCTCTAGTCGAAGGTAAGGAAAGAGACTGGGGGTAGTACCTTGAGAGCACCCTTTTCCATCACTAACTCTCATCTCCTTGGCTCACCTCCCGTAAACACCTTGTGAACTATTCTATCCCCCGGACCAGAGACTAACTTGAACGTCGGAGGGTGCCCTCGCTGAGATCGCTCGACGATACCTTTTTTGCAGGAAACGATTGGAGGCAACATCACGAAGAAAGGTTATGATGAAGGGGCACTTCAAGCCGCATCGGTGCCCAAGATAAAAGAAATCGACGTCGGTTGAAACCCCAACTTCAACAACTGGTGTCCATTGTGGGTCCCAAAGTAAAGTCTTGAAGGATACCTGATAACAACTCTTCATTTGTGATCGAATCCGAATACTCCCGACAAACCAAGGATAGTCAAGACAAAGAAACTGTCACACAACCTTCCATTAAGGAAACTGCCACACCCTCCCAAGCAACAAAATCTATCTTACCTAGAAGTTCATCTCACCCTGAGTATTCTTGGAGATCCAGGACACGAAGATCACTCGCTCAAACCATCCTCGAGCAACTTAATCTTCCTAATTTCCAAATGCGGGACTTCTAATGCTACCATGTGCAAACTCTTTCTTGCCACCCTATGGGTATAACATTTCAATGAGATATCCACCTACATAATGGGTTAATCCACAACTTTGAGGAATTTCCCGCCCTCTCCCTCTCCCGAGCCTAGTTTTTTCCACAAAAAATGTCTAACATTGATATCTCCCATCTCATGGTCACCAAGCAAAGGGTGTATGAAACCCTTAAAGAGTATTTTGACCGATTAAGCACTATTGTTGTTGGGGTAACCACCCTCTCCACAAAGAATGCCATTCATACCCTTATTTGGGGACCAATATGGCTCTCCTTTGGGCCTCACTTATAAAGCGACATCCTCGCAATATGATGGATCTCCAACAATGTGTTTCTAAGTATATCTCCATAGAGAGACTTTGCAGGAGGCAGACCCCACAAGCGAGGTTGCTCGCCTTCATCTAAGAGGCAGTGTGATTCCCCACCTCCAAGAAGGGCAGCCTCGCCTCGAGCCTGTGAGTGCCCTTGTGTTCGTTCTCTGCTAGTCTCAGATAAGGGCAATCGTTGGGATGCTCGTCGGGAAGGTGTTGAACCCAAAGCAGAACTTCCTTTCACCCCCCTTACGGAACCACGTAAAATCATTTTGTAAATCATCCAAGTGAAGAAAATCATGATCGTGTGGCCAACTCCAATGACCAAGGGACCACGAAATGGGAAGAACAAGTATTGTGATTTCAACATGGGTTATGGTCACGATACAGAACATTGTTGGAATTTGACGAATTCCATAGAATATCTTGTTCAAGAAGGATATCTAAAGAAATACATCGAAGACTCAACAAAACGCTCATTAGAGCCTCCCACAAACTAATCGAGGAAAGGCTCAACAGAACGCTCCCTAGATTCCCCTGAGGCCTTCTCCCCCATGGATGACATCGACGACCCCTAGAACACCAGTACTGTGAAGAGCCTTGCCTCCATTAGTGGGCGGGGGCTCTAGAGAGCGTTTTGTTGAGCCTTCAATGTATTTCTTTAGATGTCCTCCTTGAACAAGATCTTCTATGGAATTCTTCAGACTCCAGTAACGTTATGTATCGTGACCATAACCCCAAAGGAAATCAAAATACTTGTTCTTCCCATTTTGTAGTTCATGGTCATTGAGTTGGTCACACGATCAGGATTTTCTTCTCTTGAATGATTTGAAAAATGGTTTTCCGCGGTTCAGTGAGGGGAATGAAAGGACGTTCTGCTTTGGGTTCAACACCTTCCCTACGGTCATCCCTATGACCACCCTTATCTGAGGTTGGCGGTGAATGGACACGTGGGTGCTCACGGGCTCGGGGCGAGTCTACTCTTCTTGGAGGTGAGGAATCACGCTTCCTCTTAGATGGAGGTGAGCGACCTCACTTGTGGGGGGGCGCCTCCTGCAAAGTCTTGTCTAGGGCGATATACTTAGAAACTCGATCTTGAAGTCGCTTAATAAGTAACGCTCGAAGGAGAGCGTTATTGGTTCCAAATACAAAGGCATGAGTGGCATTTTATGTAGAGAGTGGTCGACATCAATAGTGCTAAATCAACAGAATACTCTTTAAGAGTTTCATACACCCTTTGCTTGGTGTTCATGAGGTGGGAGACGTCAACTTTAGGACTTTTTGGGCGAAAAACTTGGCTCGAAAGAGGGTGGCAAATTCCTCAAAGTTTTGGACCCTTTACTTAGTTTGATGTACCATTGAAGGGTGGCAGGAAAGAGTTTGCACATAGTAGCATCAGGTGTCCCCACAAAAGTCATCAAAATATGAAAAGAGCTAAAGTGAGATGAGCTCTAAGAAAACCCAGGGGTGAGATGAGCTTCTAGGTAGGATAGATCTTATTACGGGGGAGGGTGTGGAGCTTATGTCCCATTAGGATGGGCAGATCCCTTGGGGGCCTCCTGCGGCTAGCTCAAACTTTCATGGGGGCCTGTTGGAGGTGGAGGAGATATCAATATTCTGATTCATGCCTTGAATTGATGATGACACCCAAATTGGCGTTATTTACCTTTCAAATTTAGGTTTGTTCGTGCTAATTCATATGCATAATTGTCAGAATAGTGTCAATTGCATCCCTATTTCGTTCTTTTTTTTATTATGATGTGATTTTAGAGTGCTTTAGACAATACAAGCGAATTAGGTACAAAAGAAGGGGCACAAGTGTAGAAAATGGTAAAAAAGCGTATTGAAGCAAGGGAGGAAGCCAGAAATTACAAAGATTGCAGTTAAAGGGCACAAGTTTCCGATCGGGAAGCGAGGCCACGAAGTGTCTTCACAGATCGCGGGACATGATCAAATGATCCCGACTTTGAATTGGATCACATTGACCGCAAACTTCAGGTGGAAACACAGCTGGAGAAGCAGAGAGTTACCCAAATTGTTCTGCGGGCTACGTAGAGATTGGTCGTGAAAATAAATCACGGCCGCAACACAAATGTTCGCGACCACGATCTTTTACCCATTGCCCGCGAACTTGCCCGTGCTTGCTGAGCTCTATAAATAGGGGACTCTTCCCCCTTTAGAAGATGACTTTTGGTAGATTTGTAATTCTAGATAGAGATTAGAGAGAGAAGTTCAAGGAAGGAGAAAAGTAGAGGAGAGCTTGGAGGAGGATTTCCATCACTTGAAGATCCTTTCTTCATGATTTTTTTCCCTCTTGGTGATCTCATAAGGTACTAGAGGTTTAAATCCCCAACCCCTAGTTTAGTGCTATTATGTGATGTATGGATATGTTAGGTTTGAATGAATGAATGTGTTTATCTAGTTGATTTCATTGCTTCTCTAGCTTTGATTGTGTTTGGGTAAGTAGCCATAATCTTCTCTACTAGCCTACTTGAGCTTCTACGCTGGGTATGGAGTTTTAGGGTTAGACGGGTATGTATCATCAACCAAATTAGGGTTAGATGAATGAATAGGATCTTATGGTGGACGAGGAGACCATACCCCAGCCATAGGAATGCCTTCCTAGATAGAACCCAGGAAGAAATCTCGGTGTGGACGGTGGATAGTACCCATTGAAATGAACTATATTCTTAATTCCCCATATACAATAGTCTAGATCGAGGTGACTGACATGGGTTTAGGCGAGGCATACTTAGAGGCGTGTGGATAACCACAAAAGTCCACGGAAAAGAGCTCACTCACCACAATCGCTAAACTCAGCTTATTTAGACATCGCATAGTAGACCTAGTATAGGGCGAGGGAATACCCCAAGTACCTCTTCTTATCTATTGATCATTAGTTTAGGAATCGTCAACTGCCCACCTGCTAACAACAGGTTGACTAGATAATGGTCGAGCCTAAGTAGCCTAGGATACCGTGACCCTTGAAATATGACTGAGCTGCTTTACTACATCCCTAGCTAGGTTATACTTGGCCTTCTTAGGATTGACTAGTGAGTGCCCTTCGACTTTATAAATTTAAAGCTCGATCGAAGCAACAATCAATTGGTCAATTTGAGCTTGGATTTCCTCAACGGTAGGTTGTGTGGCTGATTCGTTATCTCGATTGCCCTGACTGGTTGGGAGATTTCGGATACCATCACAAACGAAGAGTTGATATCAGGTATCCTTCAAGACTTTACTTTGGGGCCTTCGGGGCCCAGGGTGTGCGTTATTATTGATGTTGGGGTTGCAATCAACGTTGACTTCTTCTATCTTGGGCACCAAAGCGGCTTGATGTGCCCTTTCATCGTAACCTTTCTTTGTGAAGTTTCCTCGGATCACTTCCTACAAAAATATGGTATGTCGGTCGATCTCGGTGGGGGAACCCTCCGACGCTCAAGTTAATCTCTTGTTCGGGGGATAGAATAGTTCACAAGGTGTTTGTTGGAGGTGAGCCCGTGAGAAGAAAGTTACCGATGGTAGTGGGCGATCTCAGAGTACTTGTTGTGTCTCTTGCCTTACCTTTGATTGGAGAATTTGAACTTGTTATATACTATTCATCTGGGAGACAAAATGATGACGCCTGTAGGAGCCAGGGGTAAAAATGGACACGTCGCCGGTGACGTGTCAATAAGGTCTGTCCGCGCTCGTCACATGGTTGTACGCTTGTCAACCATGAATTTGCCAAATGGTACACTCTTGCCACATGGACATTGGGTATGGAGAGGAGATGCCTCATAAGTAAGTTAAGCACCAATTAATAGATATGAGTTCTAGAACATGGGAGCAGAAGTGGGCGCGAGCGCTGGGTGTAATGGTTGTGATGGGCCGTCAGTGGTCGTAGGGTGATGGGCACAATGGTAGTTGGGTTACAAAGTTGCATCGGTGTGCAACGCGAGTCGTGTAGAAGGCGGAGTCCGGTGCAAATAGTGCGCAAACATGTACCGGGAGTGAGGGGGCGATAGCGAGCCCGGGCGCGGGTAACCGTGCGGGAAAATTACTCTGCACGCTGGGGCAAAATCAAGCTTGGTGGCAATAGTGCGCCGACGGGTACTGGGAGTCGGGAGCAATAGCGAGCCCAGGCGCCAGTAAAAAAATCAAGCTTGGGGGCAATAGTGCTCTGACGTGTATCGAGAGCCGTGGGGCGATAGCGGAACCGGGTGTTGGGAGGCAAAGCCTGGATGCCAGGGTCAAAATCAAGCTCGAGGGCAATAGTGCCCCGGAGGGTAGCGAGTGCCTGGCCCGGGTGCTATGATGCCCCAACGGGAGCAGGGTGTCGGGACCGGATGCAATGATGCACCATAGTAGGGCAGAGGGATGAGCCCGGGTGCAATAATGATGCACTAGTGAGAACCAAGTGCCGTTAAAATATTTTTTATGTTAGGTATATTAACCTATCTTTATCCGCACTCCATAACAATATAATGAATATGAACTCATGCACAAAACATATATGACATCGAAATACCCGCCATACATAGCGATTGTCATTCCTAATGGAAATGGATGAATGAACAGAAGCAAACACTTCTTTTTCCTCCATCAACTCTTTAGTAGGCAAACATCCAAAGCGTTATACTCTCCCTCTCTCTCTCTCTCTCTCTCTCTCTCTCTCTCTCTTGTTTTTCTCTCTATAGAACTTCTTTGAACCAGACACTGGTTCTTTTTTTGAATCATTAATTGATTCCCCTCTAAACTCCCACATAGAGTCTACGAAATATTATTCATCAAAGCATTGCGAAATCCTCATTTGCATCTACTCCATAAGAGGGAAATCTCATGCAAATCTGAAGAAGAACTGCATTCACTCACCCATGCTCCCCAACTACCCAGCAGCAGCTACACCAAACACAGACCTAAGGGGATATAGATCCAGAAAGAAAAATAAAAAAATGGGAGCCTCCTGACAAATCAAAACCCCATTACTCCCCTACTGCAACAGGCAAAGGAACAATCAAGAGGGAAGCATTTAAGAGAAACCCACTGAAAAACTCAGAGTCATGGATTAAGAAGAGGAAAATGCCAGCGGAAAGACTCTTAGATGAGTTTCTGATAGAGCATTCAAGGAAGATTCATACTGAGAATCCTTATCAGAAGAAGGGATGAGACATCAAGCCCAGATTCAAATCATAGGAAGGAAAGCTGAACAGAGGAAACAAATAGAAAAATTCTCATTTACCGCTTGATAAGATGGATATCCTCCACAACTACTTAGAAATTAAAGCTAAAAGAGGCTATAAGTATAAGAGAAAACTCATGGGAAAGAAAACCTCCAAGATATCCAAACTCTCAAACCAAAATCCATACTCACAACCCCTCTCCATAACTCCCATAATCTCATCTGTTCATCGTTTCCTTTACAACACCATGGATATTACCAACCTTCTTACTCTTATTGAAGAGCTCAACACCACTGGACGACCAAATATCATCTTGTCTGGTGGCAGCGAAAATTCTATAATGATTGGAAAGCTGCTCTCCGAGCACAAGATCGCGTCTGCCAAAGCGGCGGGGGCTGCCTGATATGCATGGGGAAATATGGAGAGATTAGAGTACAACCAATCTAAGATAAGAATAGCTCATTTATCTTCACCTTCCCCACTGACTTAATCATAGAAATAATCTGGTTGGATTGCTCTTGAAGTCTCTCAAACACGAAACATATGGTTTGTTTCATTATATCATTGAATACACAAAAGTCAATAGAAAAGGCAAAAAAATAATAATTGTATACTGGAGATTGATTATGTATGTGTGATGTAAAACAACTCTTATCATTGTTCTTCTTAGACATTTTTATATAGATATGACTTTGTTTGAAATATGAATTTATGTTAGTGTAGTTGGGCGTTGTTTGTCATTTTTTAAACTTCATTAGTCAAATACATTATATATTTTCCTATATTATTCATGGAGAAATTACCAAATTAAATTGTTACTTCAATCCTCAATGTTTACTACTCATACACATGAATATCAAACTCTCCCGGCCAAGAGGTCGGGCCCTAATCTAGTATATATATCTTTCTTTTCCACCAACCTCTTCACTCCGACCGTCAAACTTTCTCTGGCCGACGACTTTTTTCGGTGAAATCCTCCAATCAGACTCGCTCCGGCCATCTGCAAAAAACCCACTCCGGTAGTGGTACTGATTTTCATCTAGTGGTACGCTACCAGTAGTAGCGGTACGTACTAGTGGTAGTGGTACGCTACAAATACAATTGGTACCGCTACCATTGAGTAGTGGTACGCTACCACTACCACTAGTACCGCTACTAGTGAATAGTGGTACGATACCACTACCACGGGTAGCGTACCACTAGACAGAAATCAGTATCACTACTCACTAGTACCGCTACCACTGAGTACTAATACGCTACCACTATCAATGGTAGCGTAACACTAGACATAAATCAGTACCACTAGAGAATAACATAAAAAAAACAAGATCTGGAATCTGGAAAATCCCAAATCTGAAAAAAAAAATTAAGGAATGAGGAAAGGAGAAGGAAGTGGAGAGGTCGTTACCTCGCGGCGGTGGGAGAGAGATGGCGGTGACAGGAGTTGGAGGGAGGCGAGAGGGCTGCGACGGAGAGAGCCTTATGGCGCGGCAGTTGTGGGAGGCGGAGGACGCGACGGCTGGGCTGGAGGGAGACGCTGGCAGCGGGAGGGAGAGATGGCGGTGGTGGCGACGGAAGGGAGAGACGACGACGGTGGCGACGGGAGGGAGAGACAGAGAGCAGTTAGGGTTCTCGGGAGAGGGAAGAGAGAGGATGAGTTTTTTTAAGGAAATGAGATTATATAGAAAATGAGAAAGGATCATGTGTGGTAAGTTTTCTCTTCCAAAAATACACTTCATTTAATCTAAACCGTTAATTTGAAAACCCAAGAGAGAGAGAGTAGATCTAATGGCTGCGAAGGAGGAAGCGAAAATCACAACACCTATGGGGGTTGTGACGCTATCTAAGCCCTGGGTACCCATGAACCCGTGGATATCCAGCGGGTTGGGCTGAGTTTGAGGTTTCCGAACCCAGTGAGTTTTACCCTATATTTTTTTTTTTCACGAATAAACTCATAGGTTTGGGTTTGGCAAAACTCAACGCGACCTATTGTCATCCCTACTCACGACCCTTCCCATTGACCTTAGAGATGTGCGGCACTGATGGGATCCATGGTTGCAATTCTTCGTATGAACCCGAGAATCAAGATTAAATATGTGGCGAGAAAGTTCAACTCTCGAGTAGATTGGGTTGCTCGTTTGATGGCGCGCTCAACGCTCCCTCCCTGACAACTGGATGAATATTCTTGATTTAATTTCTGATTTATTTGATTACTGTTGTAATTGCTGATAGGAACCACTGTTAAGCATCAAACCCTAATTTTGGGGGTGTCTTACCCGGGAGACAGAGACACCAGCAGGGCGCTCCCTACCTGGAGTTTTTACTTCTTCAATTCTTCTCCTCCGTATCAGTCTCCTCCCTTCGACATTTGAACTCGACTCCCTTCAGCGGAAAAGGTTGGCTTTTTTCATCTGGGTCTTGCCACGGTTACCTTCTCTTGCGCTTCCCGATCGCCAGCTGATAGATTTTACCGGCAACCTCCGTCTTCTGTTATTCGCTCTAAGCAGCTAGCGCTGCTGCTGTCTCCATCGACAAGTCTGTTTCTCGAGGTAATTCTCACAACCAGCAACGCAGCGATTATTTGATATTCATTTCAGTTGGTTCGTCAATCCGCTTCTTGAATAAAGCTATATGCTTCCCTGCTCTTCTCTTCGTACTATTAGGGTTTTAGATTTGTGTATGATGTAGTGCTCTAGCTCGGAATCAAATTGCTGGGAAATCGAGATTTTTCTTTCATGTTTTTTTTCTTCTTTTTGTTTCAATTCAATTTTACTCTTTGTTGGAATTTGAAATCCTGTTCGTCTTGGGTTGCTTCTTATCAGTAAGTTTTCTTCGTTTTTTCCTCAACAGTTGCAAGTAGAGTGAAGGCTCTCGATTGTTACTTCAAGAATGGCGTTGGTGGTAATTTGTGGGCAGCCATGTAGTGGGAAGTCGACAGCTGCTACTAACTTGGCCGAAGCACTAAAACAATTCGAATCCTCCTCCAAATTCAATGTCAATACCATTGACGAAGCCTCCTTCCACCTGGACCGCAATCAAAACTATGCCAACATGCCAGCTGAGAAAAACTTGAGAGGAGTTCTTAGGTCTCAAGTCGACAGATCCGTATCAAAGGACAAAATAGTCATCGTCGATTCATTAAACAGCATCAAGGGCTATCGTTACGAGCTATGGTGCTTGGCTCGTGCCACTGGGATAAGATACTGCGTGGTGTTCTGCAATGCAGAGGAAACCCAATGCCGGGAATGGAACCAACAGCGCAGGATCAAGGGAGAAGCTGCTTATGATGAAGCCATCTTCGACGACTTGGCAAGAAGGTTCGAGAGGCCAGATCAAAAGAACCGGTGGGACTCTCCATTGTTCGAGCTGTCGCCACTGAGCAACGGAATCGAGTCATATTCTGATGTTATTTCAGATGCTGTTTATTACCTGACGAAAGAAGTGGATTCCAAGACTCGGGATGTAAGGATCTTGCAGCCAACTATAGCTACACAGAGTGCAAAGTTCTCTGAAGCGAACTCTCTGTACGAGTTGGACAGGGCCACACAAGAAGTGATCAGTGTGATTGTTGAGGCACAGTCTCGAGCGGCTGGTGGGCCTCTGAATGGGATCTCGATTGGGCAGGGGCTGCCGAATCTAGATGTTTCGAGATCTGTGGGGCTCCCTGAGCTTCGGAGGCTTAGGCGAACTTTCATCAAATTGACGGGGCAAACGAGCTTGAGTGGACGGCCACCTCCATCGGATTCAGAGAGTGCCAAAAGAATGTTTGTGGATTACTTGAACAGGGAGCTGGATACTACTGCTTGAAGGTACTGAAACTCAGAAGAGCTCCCACCATGTGCTGGATATCTGGTGAGTGACGTTTGTTTGTTGGATGTTTGTGAGGAGGGAATGGTGGTGGTAAGTAACAAGTCATTCTATTCTTCACACTACACGGGGAAGAAAACATTATTGCCCACTGGTTTGGGTGGCTGTGGTTTTAGCGGGTCCACTATGATGGCCAGTGAGTGTTAGCCTGTCTGGGCTACTTTTATATAATCTGTCACCAACCAGCTTTCACCCGGCTGTTTGTTGCAGATGTTAATGACATTTTGCTTGTCCAGCATCCTTGTTAATTGCAGAACTCCCATTTCTTTATTAACTGCCAATCTGGATTCTTGATGATCAGAATAAAAAAAGCAACCGTTTTTATCTGGGAACATGGCAGCAAGCAAGCTAGCACTATTACTATGTTCAGTTTTTTCCATCGAGTCTTCAGTATTCTTATCTAAAGAATTTGCCTATGATACTGGAAATGCATGGGAGTGATCCTTGCTGTCATTATGCAACTTTTTTCTCAAATGGAGTATGATATGTTTACGGATGAACAATTTCAACCTCACCTATTGTATCCGATCTGTTTGACTTGTTTCGGAAGGATAGCTTCCCTGAAGATGAGGCATAAATGTGTACATTCCCCGACGTGATTCGTTCTATTCTCGATAGTTTTTGTCTAAATTATATATACTCAATTACTTATACTTTTACTTTTATAATAATTTATTTTAGCTATAATAAAGTTATAAATAGATAAGAATTTCAATTTGTCGAATAATTTAATTTACAATTTTTTTTCTTGATTTTTTAATGAAAACTATTATTTCTAACATTTTTACTTTAAAAATTACATATTCTTATAGTTCAGTTTACTCCAACTCACATTGCCTATGTTTGGCCCGGCTTTTAGAAGTGCTTTTCGGCTTCAAAAGCTGAAGCAGGGCCAAACACCTTTAAAAGCTCGGCTTTTGAAAAGCCGAAAAGCGCTTTTGTATAACATAAAAGCAGAAACTCCAAATCGGAGCTTCTGCGAAAAGCTGTTTTGAAAATACAAGATTATCCTTATCGTATTTTAATTTTATTTTAGAAAATATAATTTTTCTTCATTTATATCATTTTAAAAATAAAATAAAATATAAAATCATGTTATTTAATATAAAAGAAATCTAACAAGATCCATTTTTACTACTTTTTATTGTTTAGAATTTTTATTCATATTTTATATTATAAGTAATTTATAGTCATTTTACACAACCGCTCATATCAAAAATTACTTCTAATAGTTTTACAACCAAACACTAAACTGCTTTTTTTGAAAAATAATTATCTAAAAGCTCCAGCCAGAAGCTGCTTCTGCAAAAACTACAGCAGGGTCAAACTAAACTATTATAAACTACCCCACATAAATTTGACCTATCATAAATTAAAGCGATATCGAGATAGTCATAAATTGCTTCCTAAATAGATTTTTTTTTATGGATGCTTCCTAATAGATTAAGGGTATGCCTACTATGACATGCATGTCACGGTGACATGCACTTTTCGGTCGACTTATTGCTGAAGGCGGTTGACCGAATCGACTAATTTGGACAGCACGAGAAAGCATTGCGGTCGACCTCAACGACCCCCTGGTCGACCGCACTTAGTTTAAGTTGTTATTTTTGGTCGACCAGAATAAAACCTGGGTCGGACTTCGTTGGCGTCAGAAACAACATGGTCGACCACCTAAGGTATATAGGTCGACCACTTGATGGCAGTCATTAACAAAATGGTCGACCGGATGAGAAAAGAGATCAACCAGATAGAAGATAAGTGTTCTATCAAAGTGTCCAATTATTTGACGTAATATCAAGATCAAGTGTTGGTTTCGCGGTCGACCTAATCCGGTACGAGGTCGACCGAATACAAGAAAGTCACCCTATGCCCCGTGTCTTTTTTGCTTATGTATGTCGATTTGTGTGGTTCTTTTAATCGTATAAATTATGTTTCAAACCATCATAATTAGTCATAAATAATTATAACAAGGACTCATCAATTCATAGCATAACAACTAAAAATAAAATAGAAATAATAATTGTTCACATATAAAAATAAAACTAAAAAAACAACAGAATAACACTCAACAATCGTTTTGACCACTAAAACACACAATATAAAAACTCATTTCTCCTACTCATCTCCCCCCTCTCTCTCATCCACATTTTCTTCATTGGTGGTGCTAGCATGATGGTGGTCGGATGTGGTGGGATGCATGTATCTTCCGCTGAAAGATCGCCACTCATCTCGCATCTCATTCACGGTCACCTGCATTGTGCTCATCTGGGCGGTCATTTGCCCCATGTAGTCGTGCATGCCAGTCATCTGGGTGGACATCTGGCCCATGTACTCGTACATGCCATCCATGCGCTCCCACACACGCTGTAAGGTGATCGGTAGAGTTGAACTCTGTGCCTCCGCCATTGGCTCGTCTCGAGCTCCTTCATCACCCTCACCATCATCATCATCACCATCATCATCATCATCACCACCATGAGCATTGTTTACTCTGACATACTCACCATTACGCAGCTCAAAGCCCATCTTTTTCAGAGATGAAACAGTATAGAACTCCTGCCTTGAGATTCTTAACCCCACCTCTTCACTTAAATTCACATTAAAATGCTCAAATAGCACAGTGAGGATCATCTCAAAGGGAAGATTCCTATTTGAACTCTCTGCAGCAGTAAGCATGTGGTTAAAGATCAAGTATGGCAAGTTCACCTTCTCGCTTAACAGTAGGTTGGTGAGGAGCTCCATGTCGAAGCAGGTGACTGTCTCCCGATGTCCACCCTTTGGCAGAATGTTGTACGAAAGCATGTGGTGAAGAACTCTGGCTTGAACTGTCAGGTGGTTACTCGTTGGCCTATTGCGCCCCTGAGCATCTTCCTCTTCATCAAGACCACATATCGTCTGGATTTGCTTGGCTCTCGTGAAATGCGTTTCATTCCAAGCACCGTAAGAATTGATTCTCTTCCCCTCGTTTGGAGCCTCAAGTACTTGCGCCAACACATTCTTGCTTATGCGCATCGCCACCCCATTCACATAGGATTTGAATGCGTGAATGGATCCATTTGCATTGCGCTCGTAGACGATGTTGTTGTAGAAGTACTGTACCAGTTTTGGGTAGTATGGTACATTGAGAGATATCACCTTCAGCCACTCTTGCTCGATGAAGGGTCCCAGAAACCCGTAATTCTCGAAATGAGAATACGCATCCGTCGTCAATGGCCTTCCAGGAGCCACCCTGCGGTTGTGCATTCTCTTCTCTTCATAGTTGTCACTTTGATCCTTGGTCTGGAACAGTTTGGAATTAAACTCTTCCCATTCCGAACTTGAGGCAGCAGCTTTTTGTGACTTTCTTTTCTTATTTTTGCCAATCATCCTGCCATTAAACAAGCAAGAATACACGTTAGTCACATTTTCGAATTGAACAATACGCGGTCGACCACTCCATAAAGCGGTCGACCTCAGTTAATTTAAAACGATAATGGGTCGACCTCAGAAGAATCATAGGTCGACCTCAATTAATTTAAAACGAGAATGGGTCGACATAAACGAATTTTTGCCTTCATCGGTCGACCTCAAAAGCATCATAGGTCGACCTCGGCTAAATTGAAACGAGTCTAAAATGGCCCAAATCCTCGTACCAATTGAGTGCAAAACAGATTCGGTCGACCTCATAATTAGAAGAGGTCGACCAGTGTTAGTTTCGCACAAATAATTCAAAGACAATTGCACAACTCGAACTTTTGCCTTCATAGGTCGACCTCAGAAGCATCATAGGTCGACCTCGGCTAAATTGAAACGAGTCTAAAATGGTCCAAATCCTCGTACCAATTGAGTGCAAAACAGATCCGGTCGACCTCATAATTAGAAGAGGTCGACCAGTGTTAGTTTCGCACAAATAATTCAAAGACAATTGCACAACTCGAACTTTTGCCTTCATAGGTCGACCTCAGAAGTATCATAGGTCGACCTCGGCTAAATTAAAACGAGTCCGAAATGGCCCTAATGCGTGTAGCATTTGAGTGCAAAACAGATCCGGTCGACCTCAGAAAAAACATAAATCGACCTCGGAAAATTTAAATCGATTGAAAACCAATTGTGACTTTCAAAAGCCGTGCAGTTCAGGACATTAGACCACCTTGTAATGCACTCGAAGACACAAACGTTTATGTCTTCGAGTGCATTGCAAGATGGCCTAATCTCCTGCACTGCACTGCTTTTGAAAGTCACAATTGGCTTTCAATCGATTTAAATGGCCCGAGGTCGACCTCAATATCATCACAGGTCGACCTCAATAAGTTTAGCACAAATAAATCGAACTTTTGCTTTCATAGGTCGACCTCAGAAGCATCATAGGTCGACCTCGGCTAAATTAAAACGAGTCCGAAATGGCCCAAATGCTCGTAGCAATTGAGTGCAAAACAGATTCGGTCAACCTCATAAATAGAAGCGGTCGACCAGTGTTAGTTTCGCACAAATAATTCAAAGACAATGGCACAACTATAACTTTTGCCTTCATAGGTCGACCTCAGAATCATCATAGGTCGACCTCGGCTAAATTAAAACGAGTCCAAAATTGCCCAAATACGCGTAACAGTTGAGTGCAAAATAGATCCGGTCGACCTCATAAATAGAAAAGGTCGACCTGTGTTAGTTTCGCACAAATAAAACAGAAATAAAATCGCTTGAAAGCCAGATGTGGTCGACCATGGTTATGAAAAGGTCGACCTCATATGGCAAACAGAAGGACAAAGTCCCTCTTTTGAAGCTATAGATGTAAATAATATCGTAGCAAAACTTCACAGGTCGACCTCAATATCATCATAGGTCGACCTCAGTCTATACAACAAAAGGAAAAATCGCTTGAAAGCATATGCGGTCGACCATGATTATGAAAAGGTCGACCTCATCTGGCAAACAGAAGGACAAAGTCCCTCTTTTGAAGCTACAGATGAAAATAATATCGTAGCACAACTTCACAGGTCGACCTCAATATCATCATAGGTCGACCTCAGTCTATACAACAAAAGGAAAAATCGATTGAAAGCCAGATGCGGTCGACCACGAATATGAGCAGGTCGACCTCATCTGGCAAACAGAAGGGAAAATCCATCTTTTAAAGCTACAGATCTAAATAATAAGACCAGAAATCTCAACTCGAACTTCACCGGTCGACCTCAATATCATCATAGGTCGACCTCAGTCCATAAAACAGAAATAAAATAGATTATAAGCCAGTTGCGGTCGACCACGATGATGAACAGGTCGACCGCTTCTGACGAACATAAGGAAAAATCCCTCTTTTACATCTTTAGATTTTTTGAAAACAAAAAGAAGAAGACAAAAATCGACTCAAATGAAAAAGAGGACTGAAAGCTATACCTTGTTCTTCTTCTAAGTGATGAGGATGAAGCTTTCTTTGAGTTTTTGGAAAATGGAGTTTTTGGAAAATGGAGAAGAAGATGAAGAAGGGAAAGGAGAGGAAGAATGAGTGGATGTGGTGGGATAGGGTTCTGATTGTGGTGTAGAATGAGTGGGAGAGGGTTCCTTAAATAGAGGATTGGGGGAGGTTTGGGTGGATGTTGCAAACAAACCGGTTTGGTCGGCTGAATTAAATACGCGGTCGACCTCACTAACTTGTTCGGTCGACCGTGTGTGTTCAGGTCGACCGTTATTTGTATGAGGTCGACCGTTTTATTGCTATTGTTTAT